TAAACCAGGTCTAAAACAGGACTAAACCAGGACTGAAGAAAAGATCAAACCAGGACTAAAACAGAACTAAACCAGGACTAAAACAGGACTAAAAAAGGTCTAAAACAGGACTAAAACAGGACTAAACCAGGTCTAAAACAGGTCTAAACCAGGACTGAAGAAAAGACCAAACCAGGACTAAAACAGGACTAAACCAAGACTGAAGAAAAGACCAAACCAGGACTAAAACAGGACTAAACCAGGACTAAAACAGGTCTAAAACAGGACTAAACCAGGTCTAAAACAGGACTAAACCAGGTCTAAAACAGGACTAAACCAGGTTTAAAACAGGTCTAAACCAGGACTGAAGAAAAGACCAAACCAGGACTAAAACAGGACTAAACCAGGACTAAAACAGGTCTAAAACAGGACTAAACCAGGTCTAAAACAGGACTAAACCAGGACTGAAGAAAAGATCAAACCAGGACTAAAACAGAACTAAACCAGGACTAAAACAGGACTAAAAAAGGTCTAAAACAGGACTAAAACAGGACTAAACCAGGTCTAAAACAGGTCTAAACCAGGACTGAAGAAAAGACCAAACCAGGACTAAAACAGGACTAAACCAAGACTGAAGAAAAGACCAAACCAGGACTAAAACAGGACTAAACCAGGACTAAAACAGGTCTAAAACAGGACTAAACCAGGTCTAAAACAGGACTAAACCAGGTCTAAAACAGGACTAAACCAGGTCTAAAACAGGATTAAACCAGGACTATAACAGGATTAAAACAAGACTAAAACAGGACTAAACCAGGACTAAAGCAAGTTTAACCAAGTCTAAATGAGTGAACTAAATTACTGAATCAGAACTATGTCAGGGCGTAGTCTAACCTTGGTCCAAACCAGTACCAAAAAAAGTACTCAGCAACGTTTAAACCAAAAACATGTGCAGATCAAGATTAAACTGGGACTAAAGTAAATCTAAACCAGGTCTGAACCAGGACTAAACCAGCTCTAAAGCAGGTTTTAACCCAGAAAAACACAAGTCTAAAACACAGTCTAAAACTAGAACTAAACCAGGACCGGAGCAGGTCAAAAACAGGACTAAACCAGGAACTAAATGACTGAATCAGAACTATATCAGGGCCTGGTCTAACCTCAGTCCAAACTAGTGCCAGAAAAGTACTCAGCAAAGTTTAAACCAAAAACAGGTACAAACTAAGATTAAACTGGGACTAAAGTAGGTCTAAACCAGGTCTGAACCAGGACTAAACCAGGTCTAAAACAGGTCTTAACTAGAACTAAACCAGGACCAGAGCAGGTCAAACCTTCTTGTCAAAGTCAGATCTCATCTTCTGCTAATCAGGTTTGGTCCTGTTCAGTGCTTCAGGGGTTTGTGTCCTCAGGCAACTGTGTGTGACTGTTGTGGTGATTGGACGGGCCAGTTCTGTCAGTTTGCCCCAGGGCAGCTGTGGCTACAGTATCTTAGCAGCACCGACTGTGGAGTGAATGAACGATGTACGGAAATATAAGTGACTTTAAGTGTCTGGAAAAGCTCTATATGAGACTAACGCATCATTATTATGGGACTAAACCCGGTCTAAACCAGAACTCAACCAGGTCTAAACCAGAATCAGGACTAAACCAGCTAAAAAAACAGAGCGATATGTAACAGTGCGCATCTTCTGCCAGCAGGGGGCACCTGACTTTATAAAAGGACACTCCCTGCAGCATCTGTTCTCTGACCTCGGTGCTCTTCTAGGATCAGGCCTCCCCTTGTAAACACGCTCAGGTAAACAAACTCTGTTCTCTAATCACAGTTTGCAAGTTTATAATTTAACGTACAGGTCTAAAACAATGTCTTTATTATAGTTCCACCGCTTCTAGAGTCCTGATGCGCCCGATCGGAGTTATGACTCGTCATGTAAAGCTCCTGTGTGTATTTACTGTTGATCGCTACAAGCGCCGCCGTTACCCACTGTCCACCGTTTGGTCGGTTTTGCCGTCAGATGCTCCGGCCGCTCGTCCTCAAGCCTCGTGGATTGAGAAGTGTGTGTTTTGTGGTATGTTGGCTGGTTTAGGTTCATGTAACTAACTAACAAGTGAAGCATAAAACATAATGTTCATTTTTAGGGACCAGGGTGGTCTTCTGCACGTCATCTGGTGGAGCGGTGGCCCTGTGGACGAGCTGCTGCTTTGTTTCTGCTATGTTTTATATTTTAACGACAAGGTTATTGTACAGCCTCTTTGGTGAAGCTCTGGTGAACGTTTTACAGTCTACTCTTAAAGTTAATCCAACAAAAATAAACAAATGAATAATGGTAATAATAAATCATTTCACATTTTGTAAATCACTTGTCTTTGTCTGTCAATTAACGGACTTGTGAGTCTTATTTTAGTTTAGTCAGTTTAGTTTTAGCTTCTGGGCTCTGCCCAGTGGCGTTGTTGGGTTCATGTTCATTTGTATTATACTGGGTTTCACCCTCCTATCCCCCAATACATATACCAGGACTAAAGCCGGTCTAACCCAGGCCCGGTGGAGCAGGACCAGAGCTGGGGGCAGGTCTGAGGTGAGGCATTTGTCACTGTGGACTGCTGCAGGTTTCCACTGCTCCGTGTTTCCACATAAAGTCGGACCGTGTTCACACTGGAGCATTCACACGAGCACAAGTAGCTCTAAACATTACGTCATCACTTTGAGCAGAACATTTTTACACACAGTCGCCAAAGTAATCCACAATGAAACTCAATATATTCTGTTTTTTGAACTGAAAAGGTCTTCACAAGGTCCTTCAGAACAGTAACTCGATTTGCATTCCAAGATCTTTTTAAAGCAATTCAGGAAAGATTCATAATCCGTGTGTCATTCGTTCATTTGTTTTTCAAAATAAAACCAGACATAAGAAAATGAAAAAAAAAAAAAAAAAAAAATATATATATATATATATATATATATATATTATATATATATATATATATATATATATATATATGTATATATATGTATGTATATATATGTATGTATGTATTCCTCATTATTTGTTTCCAAAACTATTAACTTTTTCATTTTTTGATTTTGTGTTTAAACGGACTGAACCAGAACTGAACCGGTCTCAGTCCTGGTCTGGTCCTGGTCTGGTCTCGGTGTCAGTCCCAGTCTGGTTCTGGTCTGGTCCCGGACCTGGTTCAGTCCTGGTTCAGTCTTGTTTTAGTCCGTTATCTGTTGTTTTGTTTTTTGTTTTTTTTCCCCATTTTTCATTTAAACACAAAATCGAAAACTGAAAAAACGAATCATTATCTGTTTTTTTCATTATGGTTTTTGGAGACAAATAATGAAGAAAGTTTTAGTTTTTTTTTTGTTTTTTTCCATTTTCTTATTTTTGGTTTTATTTTGAAAAACAACTAAACAAACGATACACAGATTCTTCATTTCTGTCTTATCAGTGGGACATTTTTAGCCTCTATTCTTCCAAAAAATGAGGATCTACTTTCGATTCTAGTTTAAGTATCGATCTGATTTGAGATATTTTGAGAACTTTACTCGTGACAGATTTAACCCAGAGGTATTTTTATTTTTATTTTGGGATAATACAGTAGTCCCATTACCAGAGGATAAACCCATTAGTGTATTTGTGGCAGATGCCCTCCCAGAGCTCATAATGTCATTACATCCGTTTGTTTTGGAGTTCCCTTCCTTAAATTCTCTTCAGGTGGAAAAAGTGAGTCACCCGCTCTGCGCTCTATCTCCAGCTCCGATCGTTCACGCGGCTGAGACCTTTTTATTTGGTGGTTCTGCGTTCTTAATTACAGACTCACGTTGTCCGGGACGATAAAGATATTTTTATTTTTTCGGAGCGGACCAATCGAACGCGTGTTTGTTTGTGTGAGTCAGCCGTTGCCGTGGAGACAGAGGCAGCGGCGGAGGGAAAGTCTGTCTCAGAATAAACTAAGAAGAATGTGTCCTTTCATGGAGAGAGGAGGAGAGGACGGAGAGAAAGGTAGAGGAGAGAGAGAGAGGGGAAAGAGAGGGGGAAAGAGTGAGAGTTACTGCATGTTGTTGTTGTGTCCTTGGGCAAGACTCTTCACCCACATTGCCCGATACACGCATCAAGAATCTCGGACTTCCGGTCATCGCGCAATTCATACTGGGAAGGATTTTATGAAAAAGTGAGCATCAAACCTCCATGTTTGTTTTCCCAGTGGGATGCGTCTGTTGACAAAGTCGATCTTTTCAAGTCTTTTGAACCATATCACTTTTGTTTCTGGTTCTGATATTGTCATATTTTAGTTTTGGGATTCGGACGTCGTAATTGTGTGGTTGTTGTTTGTTCTAACAGCGGAAAACGGCTTGAGAAATTTGTTTGCGAACTCCATAAATGCAAAAGGGAATCAGATGTGTGTGACTACAAACCTCCGTTCAAACTGTTTCTCTTCCCAACGGAATTGAAAAATAGTGAAAGGTGAAGGCGATGGGCAGGATTGATCCACAGGAAGAACCAAAAAGAAAACATTTGACTGACTAAATCATCCCGAGTTTGCAGAGAACATTTGGTACGTGGAGCGACAACAAAGCAAAATCCCGATCCCTCACTCAGTCTTGGTTACGAACTTAAAAAGTCAACGCCAAAGCGAAAGGCACCAACTGTTCACCAAGAAACACCTTCCACTGCAAAGAGACCAAGACATGATGTTGCTGTAAAACCACAAGAACAAGAAAGTGCAGCTCAGTCTGTTTGTCTCCTGCTCCTCTACATTAACAAACAGGATTTTGCTTTGTTGTCGCTCCACATACAAAATGTTCTCTGCAAACTCGGGATGATTTAGGCAGACAAATGTTTCCTTTTTCGTCCTTCCCGTGGATCAAACACAAAATCGAAAAATGAAAAATTAATCATTATCCGTTTTTTCATTTTGGTTTTATTTTATTTTTGTTTTTTGTTGAAAAACGAATGAACGAACGATGCACGGATTCTGGTCTAGCCCCTGTTCGTCTCGTTCTTCAGGTGTGTGGTCCGTACCTTCTTTGAGGCTCAGCTGGGTGGTGAGGTTGGCCTGGATCTGCTCCAGCGTGTCCACGGTCTCCTGCAGAGCGCTGATGTTGGTCAGGAGGAGGAGCTGTGGACAGAAACAAACGCACCCTCAGATATGTACAAAGGAGCAAGGAACTGGACCTGATCTAGTCCAAGTTTAGTCCCGGTTTTAGTCCCAGAGCTTGGATTAGAGCCGCTGCTCCTTCATGTTACATTGTCTTCCTTTCGTGTGTGACCCGGAGAGCAGAGGGAAGCCTGCAGGACGACGGGCTTTACGAGACAAACTGCAGAGTGTGAAGTTCTGGTCTGAACTGAGCCAAGAATCTGAAGAATCTGCCTCTCGCTGCACCTTCAACATCTGGGACTGTTCAGACTCTGAGCAGGTGAAGCGGGGTGAGCAAGAGGAGGACGGGAAGACAGGAGGGGGACAGGGGAGGAGGACAGGAGGAGGACAGGAGGAGGACAGGTGGAGGACGGGAAGAAGACAGGAGGAGGAAGGAGAGGAGGACAGGAGGACAGGAGGAGGAGGAGGAGGAGGACAGGAAGGAGGACAGGAGGGAGGACAGGAGGAGGACAGGAGGAGGAAGGAAGGAAGGACAGGAGGAGGACAGGAGGGACAGGAGAGGAGGAGGAGGAGGACAGGAAGGAAGGAAGGAGGTGGAGGACAGGTGGAGGACGGGGAGGACAGGAGGAGGACAGGAGGAGGACAGGTGGAGGACGGGAGGAGGACAGGAGGAGGACAGGTGGAGGACAGGTGGAGGACAGGTGGAGGACGGGAGGAGGACAGGAGGAGGAGGACAGGTGGAGGACGGGAAGAAGACAGGAGGAGGACAGGAGGAGGAGGACAGGAGGGAGGAGGAAGACAGGAGGAGAACAGGAGGAGACGGGAGGAGGGGGAAGGACAGGAGGACAGAGGAGGACAGGTGGAGGACAGGAAGAAGACAGGAGGAGGACGGGAGGAGGACAGGTGGAGGACGGGAAGACAGGAAGAAGACAGGAGGAGGACGAGAGGAGGACAGGTGGAGGACAGGAGGAGGACAGGTGGAGGACAGGAGGAGGACAGAGGAGGACAGGAGGACAGGAGGAGGAGGGAGGAGGAGAGGAGGAGGACAGAAAGAAGACAGGTGGGGGACAGGTTTAGGAGAGGAGGAGGAGGACGGAAGGAGGACAGGAGGAGGACATGAGGAGGACAAGAGGAGGACAGGAGGAGGACATGAGGAGGACAAGAGGAGGACAGGAGGAGGACATGAGGAGGACGAGAGGAGGACAGGAGAGGACAGGAGGGAGGACAGGAGGAGGACAGGAGGAGGAGGAGAGGAGGAGGACAGAAAGAAGACAGGTGGGGGACAGGTTTAGGAGAGGAGGAGGAGGACGGAAGGAGGACAGGAGGAGGAGAGGAGGAGGACAGGAAGAAGACAGGAGGAGGACAGGTGGAGGACAGGAGGAGGACAGATGGAGGACAGGAGGAGGACAGGAGGAGGAGGAGGAGGAGGACAGGAAGAAGACAGGAGGAGGAGAGGAGGAGGACAGGAGGAGGACAGGAGGAGGACAGGAAGAAGACAGGAGGAGGAGGACTAGAGGAGAGGAGGAGGACAGGTTTAGGCGAGGAGGAGGAGGACAGGAGGAGGACAGGTGGAGGACAGGAGGAGGACAGGAGGACAGGAGGAGGACAGGTGGAGGACAGGTGGAGGACGGGAGGAGGACAGGTGGAGGACAGGTGGAGGACAGGAGGAGGAGGACTAGAGGAGAAAGAGGAGGACAGGTTTAGGCGAGGAGGAGGAGCAGGTGGAGGGTGGAGGACGGGTGGAGGACAGGTGGAGGACACAGGTGGAGGACAGGTGGAGGACAGGTGGAGGACGGGTGGAGGACAGGTGGAGGACGGGTGGAGGACAGGTGGAGGACGGGTGGAGCTAAGTATCTAAAGTTCATCTTATATTCAGTCTAAAGTTCCGTTCAGACCAGAGTGTCAAAAAACACGCTGGACGCCTCTAGCTGGACGCATTTACATGTGAGTTTAGACGCCTCCTGAAGGGAAGAACTGCTGCCCTGGAAACAAGAGCCATTTCCTGGTCTTTTCCTGGAACAATGTCAGACCAGTGTGAGAGACTTGAGTGTATTTATTACATAAAACTCATCAGTGGAGGAGATCAGCTCGGCAGTTGCAGCATTTATATATTTATACTTCACTAATGTTTGTGGCTCTCCGCTCTGGTTCCCTGGGTCTTTCTCTTTCTTCTCCTTCCTCTGAATAATAACATCACTGTATAGGCAAGTTTCATTGTTGACAAAAGCGCGCGTTGCATGCTGGGAATTATTTTGGTCAGCGGCAAGAAACACTAAATTCAACATGACGGACGGAGCGAGAAAGCACGTAAAGGGTATTGATCCCGGTTATTTATCCACTCTAACGGCAGAGGACCCAAGACCATTTGACCAGAAATTGGTCATAAAAGCATCGACGGACGACAAATCACCCTTTTCAACCCCGACAAAAGGTGAAACCAAACCAAATTTCTGGTCGGAATCGCCAACTACCTGGACAAATATTCACTTGGGCGACATCCACAATGACTTGGTGGAAACTCCTGGGCCATTCACAGCAGAAAAGATGAAAACCTCCAAGAGTCTCGATGTGTTGTTGAACTTGTTGGAGTCCACGGTTTGTTAGGATCTTCTACGTTTGCTCTGCGGATGTTTGAAAGCCGTTTAATTCACCGTTAGTGGTTCTTTTCACTCAGAATACGAAAAAGACATTTTCCTTCTTCCGTGCTTCTATTTGTGCATCCGATAATGCAGCAGGAATTTACCATTATCGGGGATAAATACGCAAGGTTACGCACTGTGTTTGATGCTACCGTGTTTCTTGCCTTCGACCAAAATATTTCCAGCAGCAACGCGGGCTTTTAATAACAATGACGTCAGCTGAAACTCGCCTGTAGTTGTTCCCGATTGGTTGACGCAGCACATCTGACACCAAAAGTTCAGCATTTTCAATTTCTGATGCCGACGCCCTGGACGCACCAGATTCTCGCTTTGCTGACGTCTGAAGATGTGCTGCAAAAACGCAGGAGTCTATGTGGACACAGAGTTTGTATGTAAACTGGACGCCCCGGCGCCTCGGTCTGAACACAGGAAACTGAAGCTTTGTGCTGCTTCACTGTGATTGGTTAAATCCACTTGTCACTTGTAAATGTTCATTTGCACAACTTCATGACTCCAGGCACAGATCTGCAGCTGCTGGGGCTTTGAACTGCCCCAATTTACAGACGATCTGTCCTCGTCAACAGACCACAGTGTGATGATGTCACAGTCTATTTTTAGACACGGTGAAAAGTGCTACTGGACTCTGGTCAGACGATCCAGAGAAAGTCCACTGACACTTTTATAACACAGAAACACACACGGAACTATGAAGGACCAGGACTAAACCAGGTCTAGAACAGGACTAGAACAGGACCAAACCAAGTCTATGTCAAGACTAAACACGGACCAAACCAGGTCTATATCAGGACTAGAACAGGACCAAACCAAGTCTATGTCAGGACCAAACCAAGTCTACAACAGGACTAAACACGGACCAAACCAAGTCTATGTCAGGACCAAACCAAGTCTACATCAGGACTAAACACGGACCAAACCAAGTCTATGTCAGGACTAGAACAGGACCAAACCAAGTCTACATCAGGACTAGAACAGGACCAAACCAAGTCTACGTCAGGACTAGAACAGGGCCAAACCAAGTCTATGTCAGGACCAAACCAAGTCTACAACAGGACTAAACACGGACCAAACCAAGTCTATGTCAGGACTAGAACAGGACCAAACTAGGTCTACATCAGGACTAGAACAGGACCAAACCAGGTCTACATCAGGACTAGAACAGGACCAAACCAGGTCTACATCAGGACTAGAACAGGACCAAACTAGGACTAGAACAAGACCAAACCAAGTCTACGTTAGGACTAAACACAGATCAAACCAGGACTAAACATAGATCAAAGCAGGACTAGAAGAGGACCAAACAAAGTCTCTGTCAGGTCTAGAACAGGACCAAACCAAGTCTACATCAGGACTAGAACAGGACCAAACCAAGTCTACAACAGGACTAGAACAGGACCAAACTAGGTCTACATCAGGACTAAACACGGATCAAACACAGAACCAAACCAGGACGAGTTTGAACACATCTTGATGTCAGACCACACTGTTGGTTTGGGTTATATAAAAAAATTGAATTGTTTCCATGGATACTGGTTTGTTTGTGGGCATTTTCCATGGATACAATATTAGATTTTACAGAGTTACGAAAACACAGAAAGGGATGGTACTGTGTTTGGTCTTATGTCACACTGGGATTTGGTGCTTTTACGCTTAAAGGTCCATTATTACAAAAAACAGATTCTTGTAAACTTTTAGTCCTGTTATAATTCTAGTCTTTGTTTGTCTAAGGGGAAATCCCATAATGCTTTGTGTCTTATGCTTAAAGTCACAATCTGATTTTAGTGACTGGGAAACTGTCAGGATTCCAAAAATGTTTCATAATAAAATACATATTCCACTATGAAAGACACAGGGACTAAGGACCAGGACTAAACCAGGTCTAGAACAGGACCAAACCAGGTCTACATCAGGACTGAACATACTGTAGATCAAACACAGAACCAAACCAGGACAAGTTTGAACTCATCTTGTCGTTTAATTAAACACTACACCACACTGCTGCTTTTAAATCTACTTTTTCCATTGATACAGATTTGTTTGTGGTCCTTTTTTTTTTTTTTTTTTTTTGACAGATTTTATAACCAGGCTCACTGATACTTCGCGGTGACGTTTGTCTGGTGTTTACATGTGGACCCGGTCAAGCAGAAGTAAACAACAAGGCCAAAAATTCAAGTTAATGCATCTGATATAAAAATGTATTGAACAGATACATATGTACTCTAGTTTATGAAACTGTTGACCTTTTTTCTGTACCATTTTTGGTTCTAAAGTTCCATATGTTTTAAACAGACCATGTATGAAACATGGAACAAAAATTATTTCCCAAATTTCAAAGACCTGCAAATCATGTAAATAAATGGATGT